AGATTTTTTAGCATTTTAAATATTCTGATTTTATAATTTAAAATTATTTAATAATTAATTTATATCTAAAGTTTATCATTTCTGATTTAATTGATTTTGAAGGTTTTTTAAAATTGAATATATTGAAAGAAGAAAAATAAAAAAATTTTAATATTAATGATATAAAATATATATATATTCACTTATCTGATAATTATATTCTATTTTATATAGTTTAGATCAGAATTGATTTAGCTGAGGTCTCATCTTTTTATTTTTTAAAAAAAATTCTGGTTTTTTTGTCTCATATTATATTATGTTATTACATTAGTTTTGTAACTTTAAATAAAATCTCAAAAGAATAAATAAAACTAAGACAATTACTTAAAGAATTACGAGTAAGGATTCACAATAACGTTAAAGAATTATTCTCAATAATGAATATGTGAAATAAACACAAAATAAACACAAAGATAACTCAAAGATATTTCAGAAATTACGCTTCAGAGACTTCAAGTTAATACAGTGAATCAATACAATATCATATAATAAGTTTACTAACAGTAATTAAAGAGATTGCATAAATGAAAAGAGTCACAGATAATTTATAACAGTTTTAAGAGTTTGCGAAGGATAAATCTTATACTTAGTTAATTATATTCCTTTATTGATATAATATATAAATTAAATACCTAAAAGATTATTATTTTATCAGTCACCTTTGCTAAAAAGATAATAAGACTTAATAAAAATACAAAGAAATTTATACATATTAAATAATTAAATAAACTAAACCAAAAATATCAAAGGAAATATTGTTGCTATTTTGCTAGGCAATAAAGTTGCTATATCAATAAAATTTCCAGATCTGCAGGTAACTAAATAGACATCTATAATCTACGTAATTATTAAAAAGCAATAAAATTGACATCTAAGGATTTACATAATTGATCGATAGCAATAAAATAGACAAAATGATCTTCATAGAAGATCTATATAGCAATAAAATTGACTTCATATTCTACCAATTAAATCTATCTAAAATTTTACCTGTCACAATGTTAATTAAAATTATAAAATATAATGCAAAGAAAATATTAATCAAATATTATATCATATAATTAACACAAATATTAATACATATTAAAATTATTATATATTATCAAGTATATAATACAAACTATATTTATTATCAACAATAATTAATAAATATAATATTATTATAATTTATTTATTTTATTTTATAATTAATTTAATAAGCATTAATAATCATTATAATTTAATTTATTAAAAAAGTTTATTTGAGTAATTACAAATTGTATTTTTATAATATTAACTATATATACAATGTTACTAAATAAATATTTTATAAATATTATAATAATATAATATAGTTATAAAAATAAAATAATATATAAGATATTTATAAATATATTTTAATTATTTTTATCTATTATAAAAATAAATTAATATAAATAAATTAAAAATATATAGATTTAATTTTATATTTAAATTAATTATTTATTCATCATTTGTAATAATTAAAGCTTCTATTAAATTATAAAAAATATATGTTAAATTAAAAAAAATTATTAAATATATATATAAATATTATAATAATTACCAATACTTTTACTAATATTTGAATTTTTAATTTTAAGATCTAAATTTCATTTAATCTTTCAGTAAAATTAAGCAAACGACTTATATGAAATACTTGTAAATGATCTTTTATATCATTTAAATTATTATTTTGATTTAGTTCTAATGTTTTATTAGCTTTATAAAAATCTATAATATCATTTTTTAATTTTGTATCAAAATTTATTTTTTTGATATTTTTATATCAATTATTAATAATCTCTTTAATTTCTAATACAATTGACCTTTTTAATAGATCATTATTCTAATATTTTTTAATAAATTTATTTTAATTTAATATGTTGTAATTCTTAAAATTGAATTTTAAAAAATCTCTATTTTTTAACTTTGCACATTATATTTTTGTTAAAAGGCTAAAATGCTATTATTAAAGCAAAAAAAATTGGATCTAACAATTTAGAAATCATAAATTTTATAAGACATTATTGACTAACTTTATGTAAATACTTATAGTTTATTAATTAGTAAAAATATAAAAAAAGCTAAAAGCTGATCCTTTAGTAAGAATATATAAAGTGCGAAGTATTGAAAAGTAAAGATTTTTTCAAAATTAGATTTTACATTATGTATTACTTTAAACCAAACAATGAATAAAATATTTCATTAAGTAATAATTAGCTAATATATTATTAAAAAAATATAGTTCATTTACTTATTAAAAATTTACAAAATTATTTAATTCTTAATTGTACAATACTTTTATCAACCCCTTCCCTTTCCTTTTCCCTTCCTCTTCTATATAAATATATTAAATTTACTGAAAAAAATCTAATACGATATTGAATGTTAGAAAGTAGTTGATAGATAATTCTTATTAGATGAGAGTTACAATATTTAAATTCAGAGGTATCACTAAGCTGTTCAAATAAATTAAAAGTAACGATAGTTCTAGAAGTAAAGTTTCTACTTGATATTTGTATCTAAACTAATTCTAAAAATTCTTAAAACTATTGAAAAAAGTATCAAGTGAAGGGGGTGGATAATACTAATCACAATTATAATTTTGGTTAAAAGATTTGTCTATATAATATCTAACTATATATTCTGATATAATTTTTCAAGTTTCTCAAAATTCATATACCTCACTAGTCCTTCAGTGGTTTGTTATATATAACTTCAATAAAGATTCTCCTAGTAAGAATTACTACTTATTAAGTTTAAACACTATATTGTTAGGATAACTTGTTAGCAGGGAGTTTAAATTATAAATTATGAAAGAAATAAACATGAATTTATTTAAGTTGAAACGTCAAGTTATCTTTATTGATAATTTATATTTTAAGAAAATATATTTTGGTAAATATATCATTTTATGTTGTTAAGATTATAATTTATTAATTATACAATAGAAACTTATCAGTTTGTTAAGGCGATATATCAGAATATTTATATAAAATACAATTATAAGAAAGAGATAATAAATATAATAAAGAAAATAAATATAATTATAATAATAAATTTAGTAAATAAAATAATGATAAACGTTATAATAAATATAATAAATATCATAATAATGGTTGTGATAGAAGTGAAATTAGTGAAAATGATGATCATGATTTTTATGATGATCGTTGGTAATATTAATTAGCACAGTTATTAGTAATGCAAATGGATTATCATTAAAACTAGTCAAGCTTTTTTTAATTTCTTAAGAACGGATATATCAATTAAATAAAAAATTTTTTTTAAATAATCTTCTAGTTTTGACGATGATGTGCATATGTTTATATTTATATAATAACGTATAGATCAGGTTTAATATACAAAAATATAAAACAACTTTAATTTCACTTTTTTAAAAATTGTGCCATTCAACATGATAAAAAATCATGAATCAAATGACTTTAAATGTGAACAAATTATCAGTTTAAAGTTAGCAAAAAGAACTTACAAGGCCATCGCATACATTTCAAAGTTTCTAAAAAGCACTGTTACAGATGTAATTATGTGGTATGCTAATTTTAATAATGGATTAAATGCTAAAAGATTTAGATGATAAATTCTGTAAATAAAGATGATGATCATACACTTAGGCAAATTATAAAAAAAAAGAATCAAATATCTTTTAAATATTGACGATTTCAATTATTTTAAAAATTTACACAAAATTTTAAATAAATAAATTTTTTTTTTTAGCTGACCGGATACTTTTCTGAGGGTAGTATATATAAATTGTTTGACTAAAGGTCACATAAATTTGTATTCAATTATATATCAATAATGTTAACTAATGATGAATTTATCATTTTACTTAATTTTTATTATAATATTAATGTTATCTTACAAATTTATATAAATAAAAATATAAATTTAATAGCTTATTATCTAATTTTTATTTCAGAAAAGATCAAATAAAAGATTTAATGAGAAGAAAATAATGATATGTCGATCAGATTTCAAAAAAATGTCACATGATATATTTTTCATCGGTCCACGTTTCATTTTTTACCAAGTATTATGAGGACTGAGAATTTTTCAGTAATTAAAAATCTATTTGTCACCTACCATACGTCATATGTGCGCCACAATTAATTCCAGCCAAATGCCGTGATGCAGGGGGAAGCCTGCCGATCATTACTTTAGCGTATATCTACAAATTTGTTAAACAAAAGTCCTGAATTCAACACTATTCCATTTTGACCTGATTTTGATATTCGGATCAGATCAAAATGGAATAGAATTGAACAGGGATAATGTGATCCTTCAACCGTGATGCTCTCTGAGCAATGTGAAGAAAATAAGGTGTAATAATACTAGTCCGGCAAATGTTAGCAAAAAGATTTCGAATTTTGAGGTAACGCAATACTTTGTTCACATTCAAAAATTCGTTGCTTAATGGATTTATATTTGTTTGGATCGATGATAAAGTATTTGTTTGATTTGATTTTTACCAAGCAGATAAAAAAAATAGACATTAATCAGATCCTTGCATTATCTTTATTGATACAAAATCGAATTTGGATATTAATCAAATAAAATTATGACATCATGGAAGGAGTCATTTATTAATATGGGAAACTTTATTATAACGTACGTAATACCTGCTTTTTATACTCTTCTTTCACTTCCTTCATTATGGCGACATTTTACGAAAAAAACTGGGAATGCTCAAGATGAAAGTTGATCCTAAAGACATAGTTACGTGGTTCAGTTATAGGATTGAAGGTCAACCAACAAAACGTTCCAGTATTCCATGACAAGTGGAATAGTGTAATTACTCGAAAAGACGCTATGATTATCGTCGAAATTATAAAAATGGTATGTACATCTGGGTCTAATACAGATACTTAGTTATGTTAATTTAAACTTAATATTTCTAGATCTATGTATTGGTAAGAAAAAGCTTGATGCGATAAATGATGTCTGCCACATCATTAGATTATGGTACGATGTTATCTTACAATAAAGATTTACCAGACCATAAAAATTCTATTAACTTTGTTGAGTTGTATCATCAAATAACGAAAAACCAAGCAATTAAGGAACGAGTTTCTCTTTTAGTTAAAAATTATGGGATAACGGTAAAAGACATATCGGCATTATTTAGCTATAAAATAGCACGAAACAGAATTGTTCACAAGAATCACCTGAGAAAAAAGGTGCAACTACATCACCTCCTTCTAATAAATTGGAGGATGCTCTCAAGCTATTGCGTCTAGCTCCTAATCAGGTGTAAGACTTTCCGAAAGCATTCGAAAGATGCGCAAAATGGGTTTATTGTACGAACTAATCTTTAATCTAATAAAAATACATTAGATATACAGCTGTTTTATTGAACAATTAATTTCGCGCATTTCTTTTTTCAACATTTTTGCTATCCTTCAACATAATTTGCTAAATAATTGGTAAGTATTTTATAAAAAAAAATTAAGAATTTCTGCTTTAAATGTGATCCAATAATAACAGAATCCCATGCTCAAAATCCCCTTTCCAACTTTTCAAAGGCTTTTTCAAAGTATTCACCAGCCTTTATATCTTTGTAAACTTCACGAAGTGTTTCAAAAATAAGGTTTTCCTGTTCGGCCTCAGACAATACTTCTTGTGGTGCGTCGGGTAAATCATCATAATTTTCATTCTTCAAATCATATACAACTTCTCTCCGGTTATGATGGAATAGCATCCATTCCCTTATTAAATAAATCCAAAAAATCCATTACATGTCTATGACGTCTATTCATAAAATCCTCTAAGTCTTTGGTTTCATTGGCTCTTCCTTTAACGAGAACATCACGATAAGATAATTTTGCGGTATTACTTAGTGGTATGATTTCATATTTATTGTCTTTTCCTTTCATAAAAATGACAGCTTCGTCTTTGCTGACCTCTCTCTTCACGTAAACATCTTTGACTTTCCCTTTATAAAGAAAAGAAAATATGTTAGGACAATTAAAATATAATACATAATGTATAATAACAAGGATAGTATTAACGGTTAATTAAAAGATATGTAAATTCAAAGATCTATTATTAAAGGAAAGAATTCTGGGTAACATACCTAATTCAATTCTTCATTTTCATCATACAATGTAAAATCATCGGTGTCAGAGTTCACAACGATATCATTATGTTGATAATCAAGTGTCGATTTAGCGCATCAGGGGAATCAAATCGCGAGCCATTGCAAATTGGGCACTAAATATAAAAAAAAAGGTCAACGCGAACATTTCAATCACCCTTGTGCTTACAAAACAAATATTGTTTTTGGGATTACCATAAATGGTCTTTGTTGAGTGTGTCTACGTAAATGCTCTGCAAGATACAATAATAACATTATTATAATTTCTACGGTATCGGTGGAGCTAGCAAAGCCAAAAAGTGCTAGAAATATTTTATACCTTTTAATTTAATAATACTACTTTGTTGTTTATTACGACCTTTCCACGGAAATATATAAAATGGGTCTCTTAGACATGATTTGTTGCAAGAATTGATGTCGTGCTCAGCAATATGCTCTCTAAGTTTCTCCAGAGTTTCAAAGTGCTGTGGTTCTGAATGAATATCCCATTTGCAGACGAATGATTTATATTAGCACTTTTAGACATAATAGTATGGTAATGTTCGATTATACAAACAAAACTGAATCTCGTTTATTATTTAGGTCCAAAAATTCTAATGTGTCAAACAAACTATAAAAAAATAAATATAATAAAAAATCCAATTCGAAAGAAATCAATTTTGGAACAAAACGATCAAGACGAAAAATTTGGAAACGTTATTTACAAAAAAATTTTCTTTTCAAGGTTTGCGATGTACTTAAATATGTCGTCACACGACTAAATTTTTGAATAAACTTCAATTAATATTTATAAGAACTATAGAACTATAATATATAATATATATAAAAAAATAAATTTCATGAGAATCTATTCTTCGTTAATTGGAAATTGAATTATCAGCAATCTGATTCACTTATTGTAATGTGTCGTTGCAAAGCCAAACCGTGTATTCGATGTTGTGAATGAAAAAATTTTAGCGTTAATATTCTCAATTAACGAAGATTGCGGAATGGATGTTAAGCTATTCGACCTAATATTTGAAATCCGAAAAGCAAATAATAAATAAATTTCTTATTGTGAAAAAACAAAATCATTACGTAAGGTTTCATTATTTTAAATATGATTAATTAGGTACTGTTTTATGGTAACAAAATATAATACAGATTGTGCAACTTGAACTTAATATCCGACCATTTTATATTGGATTTTGTCAAATAATCAAAAACGGTTCGAATAAAAGATAGGCTTAGTCGGAAAAAATTCAAATTGTCTATACACTGTTAATAAAATTTAACCCCATAATGCATAAATGGTTTCACCCTGATCTAAAAACAAACAAGGATTGCATTTTTTGTATTCCGGAACAAAGTTTTGCAATTAAAACATATCATTGGTGATCAGAAGATCAGAAAATGCTTTTCACATCTTTCCTTTTTTTAAGCCTTTAATGCACGTGACTTTCCAATTTAGAATTCATTTTTTAATTTTTTTTTGTTTTTTGTTCGTTTTTTGAAGGTCATCCAAGTCGCTAAACAAGAGAGCTAACCAACTATAATCAAATGTTTCATCACAAAAATAAAATAAAAAAACAAATAAGTAGGCATTCTGTTCAATAACTGTGCCATAGATTTATTATTTATGTTTTCACAAAAAAATTAAATACAACAAACAATATTAATAATATATATTATTCAACCATTCATCAAATAAATAAATATTTATTTATATTTGTGACTTCAGACCAAAAAATAATCGGAAGCAAATTTTACTATATTTATTTATTGTTGCCTTGTTCGCTTTTTCTGTTATGAATTAAATTTAAAAATATTTTTTTTTTTGCCAGTTGAAACAAGGAACATTAATGATCCTTCAAAACAATCGTACGAATAACGGTTAAACTTTTAATCTTTTGTCCAACGTATTTTCAGATATAAAGTGTGAGAAATCAATCATTAAGAGTTTTTTTTTTTTTTAAATTTAAAAAAAAAAAAAATATCACTTTATTTAATATCGATTTCTGAACTTGTAACAAGCTGAATTAATTTAATGAATTTTTCTTCTAGATGTACGGATTGTGGAAGTGAAGTAGAGAGAGTAAGCTGGTGTAAAGTTTGTGAGTCATTTGCCTTTAAAGAAGATTTTAAAAATTGGACTAGCGGAAATCTTGAGATTGATAATTTCATTAGACATACTCAGTTAAATGCAACCGATAATATCTCATATTTAGAATATATTGATTTTAAGCATTTGAATTTTGTAAAAAACATGAACAAATGTGGTTCTTTTAGTACAATTTATTCAGCAATCTGGATTGAAGGTCCTCGACGGAATTTGGATGAAGAAGCTGAACAATGGATTCGTAGTGGTCCAACAAAGGTTGTTCTTAAGAGACTTAATAATTCACAAAATATGAGCCAATTATATTTAGACCAAGTAAGACAAAAAATAAAGTTATTAGATTATTACATTTCAAAAATATTTATCAACCTCTTTCATTTCATTCAATTTCAAATTAGCTCTATAAGCATGACATTTGCCTTAAAAGTGGAAATTTGGCGAGCTATTTCGGAATAACCAAAGATCCTACTTCAAATTATGCGTTCGTGATGAAATATTATGAACGTGGTGATTTATATTCATACCTTGAGGTTCCAGATTGGAAAAATCTTATTGATATGCTTTGGGATATCTCTGGAGGTATCCGATATATTCATGATCATGAATTAATTCATGGAAATATTCATGGAGGCAATATATTGATTTATCATCATCATGATTCGGATAGTAATATGGAATTGGTTCATACTCGTATCGCTGATGTAGGAATACACGGCCCAGTTAATAAGGACGATACAAATGTATTATATGGAGTCCTTCCTTATGTGGCTCCTGAAGTCTTGAAAGGGTCTCCACTATCAAAAGCTTCGGATGTCTATAGCTTCGGAATGATCATGTGGACACTCGCCGCTGGTGTTCGTCCATGGTGGGATAGACCACATGACCTTAACCTCGCTACTGAAATTTATTCTGGTCTTCGTCCTAAAATTCCTGAAAGAATACCAAACGTTTATATTCAATTAATGAAACAATGTTGGGATCCTGATCCTTCAAACCGTCCAACTGCCTTGCATTTATGTGAGATGTTTGAAGATTGGTCGGAATCTTTTTATGATTCTGACGATTTTGATGCGGATCAAGTGCAAAGATTAGAAGAGTATGGTTGTCATCCTCAAGCTTTCTATACAAGCAAGCTTTTATACTTTCCTGAATTAATTAATTCGTAACCCGTCGCATTTATTGATCGGCATTCGATTAGACCGAAAACTATAGAATTTGATATTTTTTTTTTTTTTTTTTTTAAAAAAAAAAAAAAGAAAAGTGAAAGAAATATTTGCTTGGGAATTTGTACTGAGAAATATCGATTTAGATTTTGAAATTGTCATGGGTATTGATAGATGTTAAGTTAAAAGGATATTCATGTAGTTTTGGAGGATATATATACATTGTTTGTTAATCTAATATATACAACTAAAAAGCACTTGTATTCTTAAAAGAACAAAAATAGGCTGTTAATTTTAAATAGTGTAAATATGTGAAAAAATAATTTAGTGCTGTGCTGTTCAAAGAAGGTAAGCTATATCGAATTAATGGCATTACATGAGAGGATTCGTTACTTGCATTAAAAAAAATAATAATGTGATATCAAAATCTCAAATTTTGTGATAACTTAATTAATAAAGTTTATTTTGCTTTAAATAATTAAATTTAATTTTTTAATTTTTACAGTGTTTGCTTAAAAAAAAATAAGATCATAATTTTGGTTAGATTTGTAAGACGGTTTGTTAGGTATGCTGTCCGCGTACACGTGACGTCCGTGACAAATAACGAGTGACAAATAGGTTTCACGCCCTAAAAAAAGTTTTCAAATTATATAATACTGTACTGGAACAGATTATTTATATCATTCGCGTCCCCGGGTGTGGCATTATTTACAGGATTACAGGAAAAATGAATATTGTGAAATTATTTAATCTCAACTATTCCTATTGCTTAAAATACTAGTGATAAATGATGTTTTTAACAAGATAATATCATGAAGCTTACCTACTAATTTTTATGATGAAACACTATGTATTTTATAAAAAAGTCGTCCACAAGCCAAATCAAAAAATGCACTACATGCCGTAAAAACCACCTTCGCGAATCAACTTGAACATTCACTAATGGAGATCACCCTTATTGCTTTTGAAGCTTATTATGGACCTGCACCTATTCCTAATGTTCACCGTCTAGCTTTCAAGTTAGGTAAACTAACAATTTCGCAGAAACAGTAGAAGTTACTAAATGTAAGTTAAATACTTTTTTACTTAGCTTTAAAATATTATTACAAACTCCGTGAATAGAATTATACCATGGTTTTTAGCGAATTAGCTAAAATAAAATGCACTAGCAAGTTACACAAGTACTAATTTTTTGGTTGAAATGGAATGGTTAAAACTTGGTGAAACAGAGAGATCATCATCATATCTTGAATCCCTAACTAACCTCAATAGCATTTATTATTTGATATGATTACACACCTTCCTAATATAGTAATTATCGGCGTAACTAAATCCGTAGTACAGCTTTCCATAATAGACAAAAATCCCAAAGAAATTGATACTAACCAATGAAAGTGCTGTTGCCGCGGGAATGGGTTAGATGATTTGTCATCGGCGTGACACTGGTGATGTTACAATTTTTATTATAATTTTGGACAATTTTTTTCGGTGGTGATGCTTATTTGTCACGCTATGGATGTTATAAATATATATTTCGTCTCAATTTTCAGTCAGTCTCAATCAACATCACTTATCCATTTCATTTCATTTCATTATATTTATTAAAAAAATAAAATCGATATTAAAAAATCCAAATTTAACTTATCGTAACGCAACAATAATCTATTACTTTCTTTCCACTTTGCAATTTTCATACTTTTAATATTAGTGTATCGATTCAAACACCACACCATAGCAAGGTCAAATTTAGCATTTCATTTAATGTCTACTTCGTACAATCCTCAAGACAGTAACGAATCCACTGCAACTTCTAATGAGAATATTTCTCATACTCCCTCTGCGCCTTCAAATAACATGTCAGATATTAACAACGATCAATCTTTACAACCTACTCAAAACACTCTATCTCCTTCTCAAGAACCTGAATGGTCATTCTATTACAGGCCAAATAATGATTTTCAAATTTATCTCATTACTTATAAAGAAATAACCTTTAATGAACTCATATCACAATTATTATATAATAACTTATACCTATCTAGTAATCGTCTTTGCTCAAATAATCTTTTTGAATTTTATTTTCAACATCCTAATGATCAAAGAATTTATAAAGTTGCTTGTGAAATGATTTCACATTCAAATATAGTTGAATATTTAAATTTAAATATTTTTGGTTTAAGATTAAGCGAATCACAGCAACAATCACCCTTGGATTTTTCTAATAGACACAAAGAAAATCTCGAGTTCCATTTGAGACAATTCCTTACCGATAATTTGGTCTCCGACAGTATTGGTAGTACTAATTCGAATTTGATTAATACTTTTCAACCAAATACAACAGTTCAAAATGGGGATTTTCAACCTCAACAAGGAGGAAGTTCATTTAATTCCGGCCAGAATTAAGGACTAAAAGATAGATATTCTCTTTCTTCATTTCTCATGAATTTTCTTGAATTTTTATTTTAGTGTATTGGATTATTTATACTTTATTCATTCATTTATTTTTTATTTGTTTTATTTTTATTGTTATACTACTTACAACTAACAGTTTCATTCTAAATCTTCTTATCTTTTTTTTTTACCTATTTATAAAATGTTTCCGTGTATACATAAACAAACTATCATTTCTTATTAATAGATTTTTACTCGTTTGTGCGAAAAATATATAAATTTTGCTGCTGGAAGTAATAGCGTAGCAATACAATTTCGGTTGACCTATGAAACAATCGAACAAATATAGTATTAATCGTTATTGTCGTGGCATTGTTATAAAAATTTCAGTTGTAAATAACGATTCTAAATAAAAACATTCTTGTGATACCGTTGCACAAATTCTTTAGGGTAATTTTACAATGTAAAACTAGAGATTGATCAAGTAAAAGGAATGCTTTGCTGGAGAGATATTGTTGAATTACTTTGGGGAATATCCGAGGCATACATAATATTCATGAAAAAGATTAATTCATGGAAATCTTCATGAAGGCAATCTGTTGATTGAAAATACTCCAGATTTTATAGAAGCACGTGTCAATGATGTAGGATTGAATTTTCCTATTGATATAACAAGTTCAAATAAAAATATTTGGAGTTCTTTCTTGTATGGCTCCTGAAGTCTTACAAGGGAAGCCAATAACAAAGGCCTCGGACATATTTAGCTTCGGGAATATCATGTGGACACTTTCTGCTGGTATTCGTTCATGGTGCAATAGACCACACGATCTTAAATTAGCTATCGATATTTGCTTTGGTATTCGCCCAGAAATCATCGATGGGACTCCAAATGCTTATATTCAATTAATGACAAGTGTTGGGATCCTAACCTTTCAATCCGTCCAACTTTATATGAGTTAAACGAATTATTAGAAGTTGGGTTAATGATATATGTGACGATCCGCATCCAATCCGAATTATCTGAACAATTTGACCTCGCTGAGGAGAAAAAATTTTCAAATTTGGACAAAATGAATTTTATAAACCTGAAATCCATTCTAAATTTTTCTACACGAGTAGACATCTGTATTTCCTGAATTATTTAATGATCAAAGAGAGTATTAATTTGGCAAAATCATTTATTGGAACAAAATAAAATAGGCATTGATTAATACATATCTCGTCGTATTAGTCATAAGTCGTTGAATAGAATCACGTGAACGATATTCTCCTTGCAGAATCGTTGCATTACGTTTGGCTGCGAGTAATTTTTACCTTTACCGACTATATTTTATATTATATGTATTATTTTTTCTCACGAAAAATATAGTAAATGATTTTCTTATATGATAAATAAGTAATAAATTGATTATGATTTGATAATATATTAATTATATTACAATGGAATGAATATCAACTATAATGATTTAACAATGTATTTCAATCTCTAAAAATTCTATTTGTTGTTTATATGTAATTTCTAGGTTATTATCATTAGCAATATTATATTTCGTAGTACCTGAAATTCCAATGCAGGTAAATCCCCTCTTAAAAGTTATCTAAAACATGTAGTTTTATACAATTTGAATTAAAATAGATGATTAAATAAAAACTTTCTTAATACTGCAAAGATATTCTCTATGATAAGTAATTTAAAATTTAAAAGAAATTTTTTTACAGTATATTATAAAGAAACTGTAGTAATATTTTTAATGCAAAATTGTATAAAGTAGTATAAACAAATATAATAAAAAGTTCCAAAGCTATATGGGCCCTTTGCAATAGAAAGGGGGGAAACTACCTTATAGTAGTTTTTGAGATAAATCGGTTTTTGTGAAATAAACAAAGGAG